ACCACTTGTTAAGAAAATTATTTGCATAAATTTTCACGCCCACTAAATTAGGTATTTGCTGTTCATTTCCTATAATTTGCAAGTACTCTAGGAAATATTTATCCCTGCACTAATTTAAAGTAATATACTACTACTTTCCATAAAATTTGCCATTAATTTTTTCATAAGTAAATAGAATACAATGAATAAAAAAAGATACTTCAATAAATTTCTACGCTAGATACATTAAGGTACGTTTAGAAATATGTATCTATGCTCCATTTAAGGTAATTAAAATGTCCTTTACCCACTTCAATTCAATACGAATTCTTAAAAATCCTACCTCGAGGCTAAATCATAATCAAATTGACGCTCAAAAACAAAAGGGCCCGGCAGACCTCGAGGCTAAATCATAATCAAATTGACGCTCAAAAACCAAAAGGGCCCGGCAGATGATTTGGACTGACACTTCGGCGCGATGCGGCACGACATCAGCAAAATTGTAGCGATTTAACTAAATGAATTCGCCAAACTAAATAAGTGTCAAGGTCGATGGAACCTTTTCCTTATCAGCACCCACGATTGTTGACGACACGGTTATGTAAGGCTAATACCGAAATCTGTGATAACCGAATTTAATATAAGGTTCTGGTAATGAAATACTCGAATGGGGGTAGGCGGAATTATACATTAAATTGGAATATATGCGATACGGGGATTTAATTAGCGGATAGAAATTTATGAAGGATATTCAATGAAACTCTGTACGTTTCAAATATGTTAATTTCTACAATCGAATGCAGATGAACACTTTTTTTTATTGATTATTGATTTAATTTTAATATAATTTTCACATTATTTATTCCTCATCGCTATACTCGTTTAGTACATTTTTAGTCCTTATTTTTTGATTATAAATAAGAACTGAACAGTTCTATAAGCTGCTATGATGTAGCATCAGTTGCCCTTCTGTATATAATATATTTTTATTATTAGAATTTATCTAATATTGATGATATATTTTTAATATGCAGTAATGCCAGAGAAGGCTATTTTTACTTGACAACATACTTTTGATCTATATTTTTTAGTACAAATAATTATCACTACTTCTTGATATCAGGTTGTTCATACCCCAGATTGCTTGACACGCGTTGAATGCACTTGTCTCAAATGAAGTATAATTCGTTATAAATAAAGTAAAAATAAAAGAAATTCGATGCTTGAGCAAATTTCGATGTATATCTAACATAATTTATTTCATAAGAAGGTTTCGAAGACAATAAACAAAGTTGAATTTTTTTGTTCAACAATGAAGTTGTATAATATGAGAGTGAAAATAAACATATCATCATTCCTTTTAGATTTAAAAAATTACTCGAGTTTTGTTCATGGAATTCAATTCATCTATCTTAATCTTTTTCAGCTGAAAAATAAATTTTCAAGCTACTTTTCTGAATTATTAAAAGATGATTTCTTACCTTGCCTTTCACAAAAATATGATAAAAGTATATGTGCAAAAACCTATTTGTACAAAAAAAAGCATCAATGTAAATCAAATATAAATCACATTTATAAATTCAATAAAAGATCGCGTCATTCTACGGTAGAGAGGATATTGTAGTAGCAAGCGTATCAAAGCTTTTGGGCTTTCATTTGAATAAAAGAGGGATTTATGCTCTTTTCCGATAAATTAAATTTAGAATTTGGTTGTATTTTTAAGAATTGAATATTGTAAAGGTATTTACCAAACGAATTAGTAAATTATATTCGATTCATATCAAATTCATCCATAAAATGGTTAATATTGTTGAGGTAAATGACAATATGTACGCCAAAATAATTATTTCTTTTAAAGATTTGAAAATGTTAATCGTTTTATTCACGTTAAAAAGCATATAATATTAGTTAGGAAAATAATATTCCATTTTAGAAAAGTCAAGGCTCTAACTATGGTAACAAGATTTAATTTGATTTGCTATACTAGTTCGTTAAATTCAACAATTTTGAACAATGTAAATTCAAGCTAAATAAATACTGTACTACCCCATGTGCAAATAATGTTAATACTTAAGCAATTATTATCTTTGCTAAACTTTAATGATAATATAAATATTTCTCTTTTATAGTCCACGCAGTGTAACGAACTGTAACCTCACAGGGGTAATTATCCTCGCTTTCCCTCTAAATTTATGTGCGATTGTACTTGATACAGCTCGACCTACCCTTAGAGAAAAGATACAAGTGCACAATAAATTCCATTAAACTCCTAACTAGGCAATACTCTTTCTGAAAATGCACAATGGTTTTCCTCGGTGCTCATGATGTAATAACGCACGTTCCTTTTTTCTTCTGTTTTTTTCCCTGTGCATATCTTATATTATTGATTTTTAACGCTCGTTTTACACCGTAAGATTTTTTTTCGAGATCATTTTAAATGTGTGATCATTCTTATCAAATGGTTTGATAAAAATCTTACGTAACCCATGACGCGACTGATCACTACAGTACTTTGGAAACGTAGAGGCGTAGAAACGTCCTGTTCCGGTACGAATTGCTCACTTAAACGTTCTTAATTATTAACCTATAGTTGCATATTAAAATCGTTTCGCTATTGCAGTGTATCGACGGAGTGGATGGATTTTGATTTCGGAGTTGGAAAACATTTTATAATGAATATTTTTTTTACTACCATATTCAAAAACACATTTCATATTCTAAATAATTATTTTCATACTGTTGATGTTTTATATTAATAAATGTTTATGATACATTGACAAAGAGTATTACCGTATTGACTAAAAATTCAGCACAGTCTATTTTTCGAAATTTAATTAATTTTTATATCTAAACCACTTCTCATAGGTCTATAATATTTTAAGAAATTCATTTTGACTATCAACTGTATCACTATGCGAGGTTTTATCAAAATCCCAAAAGATTAAATATGAAGTATTTTACTACTTACTATTTTATATTAATTAAAACCATTGTTCAGTTCATGTCGAATAATATCTTTATTATACACGAAGATAACGAAACAATAATAAATGAATTATAAAATCTCAAATTTTTACAAATATAAATTAATATCAAATAAATTGAAGAAATAAAAGTTTAGATTAGACGTTATTGATATAATCAATAGTTTGTCTATTATTGCAAGGTCTTTTGAATATCAGAATTACAATGCCAATAATTTTATAAATGAACAATATTTTTATTAAAAAACTGAATATATAGTTAATTTTGAACACTAAAAATAGCTGAGAAAAAAATTAAATAAGGCTTCAAAAAATATTCAATCTACGAATAATTTTAATTTTACATTTATATGTTTTAAATTGTTATTCACTTACGAATTCCTTACGATAAATTATTTAATGTTCAAATAAAAATCCTAATATTAGGTCTACGAACATTAAAAAGGATTCAAGGAAGCTATACAAAAAATGTAATACTTAAGTAATTTACATAGATTTTCCAGATGTAAAATTCTTAAAATATTTATAGATTTTTTTATATTTTTTCAATGTATTATTTAAGCATTATAATATGTTTTTAACTAATTGCCCTTTGGCACATGTGAAAAACTCCTGAAAGCGTCAGAGATGAAGGCACACAGGATTAAATCATTATTTTTTACAGTTCTCTACGAAGTGGCGAGAACGTAATTATTCATTTTTATAATTAAAAAATTAATCACAAAGCCATACAAAAACTATTCGTTAGGCAAGGGTTTTTTAACATTATCCATAAAAATGTAAAATCAAGGACGCACTAAAAGAATAAATATAAAATTATAAAAAAATAAAATTTAATTATAATTTTAATCGTTTAAGTAAATATATAAAGTGTTATCATGCACATATTCTCAAAAATAATTAAATATAAAATAATTTAAAATTCTAATAAATTATAATTAAAAAATCAATCGTGAGACGGTCCGCTAGCAACTGAGTTACACCCACACACGGTCAACGTGTTTATATTATAATATATATTAAGAATATTGTAAGTAACATTATTGTAAATTTTGAAATATAGAAAATGATACGTATTGGTATGAAATAATTCATATACTAAAGGCATGCCTTAAAAAAACCATTACATTTTAATGTAAGAAGCACCAGTATTCATTAATCTGATTCTATTCATTTAGAAGAGTTATGAAGCTCTTTGGAAAGCAATAAATATTCAGTTTAACGACGAGCTGAGATAATATTTTGGCATTTGTTTATGCAATAGGACCACCTAAAGATATACTAAAGGCATGCATTGACCAAAATGCAGATAGAAAAGAATAAAACGGTAAACTATTTTAAACTCAAATACTATTCATATAATTATTGCAATAATTATATTACGTTTATTTACATGAAAATAAATATGAAAAGGCGTATCAGAAATCGGTTACACAGGTAATTTAAAGGGATATGTGCCAAGTAACTACAGAAATTACAAAATTTTAATTATCATGCAAAATTACGAGTTATGAATCATTAGATCAGAGCCTTTGCCTTTCTTTTATTTTCACAGACCCCTATCCCATTTTCCCCCCAGTATTCCAGATTCATGTTTTGCTTTAAAAAGTAAATTGGAAAACTTATGTCGCACATCCAACACAGACAAGACAACTATTTTATTTTGTGGACCTGTCTTACTATACATACATCACCTATTAGAAAATCAGATGGCTTTATAAATTTTGAGCATTATTTAAATTTGAACAAAAAAAATGAAAAAATAGACTGTTAACCGTAGACTTTTCGCTAGGTATCTGAAAACCAAAATTGGACAAATTTTGGATTTCATCTATCAAACCAAACCGCATAAACTATTAGTACTACGCCAATGTTATCTACGTATGCTACGGCTGATTTCTATACTACGTTTGTATGTCGAAACGTAGAAACGTAGAGGCGGAGCGGTGAGGGGAAAAAGCGAAACAGTTGATTTTGGCGCAGGCTCTCTGCGTATAAAGCTCTGGTTCGGCGTGCTTTTCGCTGTCAGTATTGCCGCGCGATACCTACTGGACGCACGTTATCAGTTCAGGCCAATTTTAACCGTTTTTTTGGCCAATTTAAAAATTTTATTTTGTTGTTAGTTTTGTATCTTATTGCGTTCTAAAAGTGCCTTTGATTTTTAACACGTAAAGGTAAGTGGATACAAAATTGTTTGTGGTCATTATAAAACAAAAAAAAAGCCAGAACCCAACCGAAAACTTAAAATTTTTAATAGTACATAATCTATAACTTGGGGTCAATTAGTAGGTTTTAATAAAATAAGTGGGATAATGAATATTTATAAAATCGTCAATAAGAGTAATAAAAAATCCTAAAATCGTTTCTCTGATTATTATTTTTTGAATATTATTTTTCAATTATCGGAATATTTAACTTGGAGTTACGTATAAATTATAATCAGTTATGTATAAATTATAATCAGTTCATGACACTAAAAATAACTATGCCTAAAAGGTGTATTTTGGCCTAAATAAATATTTGTAAATCAACAGGTCAGTTTCCAATTAATAACGAAAAATATTTATTTCATAAAGACTGTTGAAAAATTAAGCAAGCTTTTAAATTAGTTGAATGAAAATTATTTATTAAAACTATCGAAAGTTATTGTAGTTTTTATTAATTTTCCTAACATCAGAATGCAGCAATAAATCATATAAACTATAAAATCCAAGATGTACGTTTTCTAAAAAAAAATAGAAACATGAATACAACTCATTTACAGTTTTGAAAAGTTTCTTGTCTAAGGTAAAGTTTTACTCAAAATAAATATCTATTCTGAAACTACTATTTTTTTTATTAAAGTTTATAGACTCTAACAATCGGAAAATTTAATACTGAAAAGTTTTATTTCCGTTTTTCGTTTGGATTTATATAATAAAAGTCAGAAAATACTAATATGTGGTAATAAAACCAGCGGATGAAGCTTTATGTGTCGGCCAGAAATTGTGGTGTACATTTCTAGAGCAGAACTTTTGCTAACTACCGAAAACTGGCCGGTTGAAAAACTTTTTTCATATGTTAGAGATTGATTGAATTAGTAACAGCTTAATAAGTAGTTTTGAAACAAGGATTAAATATTAAGTTAATGGCAAAAGTTATATAATTACAGATTACATAAATAGTAATAGAAAAACTAATAAAAAAAATAGAAACTAATAGTGTATAAACTTGAAAAACTATAAATATTTCGCGTTACATTTATAAATAAATAAAAATGCTAATAAATATTTGAAATATAAATTCTCAAAAAAAATTAAAAACAAAATTCCTAAGTAAATATGGAAGTGTCCAATGTAATATCAAAACTACAATCATTTTAATGCTATAAATCTATAGAAGATAAACATTACAAAAAATAGACATTTTGCTAAATTATGAAGAATAAAAAGTTTAAACAATATGCTAAACGAACAAGCAACTGAATAAAGTTTCAGTGTTGAAACTATAGATAGTTCTAATTTAATTTTTTTAACTCTCAGGCCAATTGCAAATTGTATGTACTTTAACTTTGTTTCAATGTTCAAATTGTTAATTGCTTGTATAAAACCCTAGTGAAATAGTTTTGTGATAGTTATACAAGTGCTTTTTTTTTTCATTAATGACAGTCTCGACGTAGACTGATACGTATGGATTTAATAAACTTGCAGGTTTTAATTACACAGTTTTTTAATTGGTGTTAATAATTCATATACATCTCGACGTCGATCAAAAAAATCTGAATTATATATATATATATATATATATATATGTGTGTATGTGTGTGTGTGTGGTGTGTGTGTATGTGTGTGTGTTTACCTCCAAAATAAAGACAATTGCCAAGAAAATAATTAAGCAATACAATCCATGTACAGCAAATATAAATAAGTATAGGTTCGTGTTGTGTATATATGCACATACATGCATATGTTTCATATAATTGTATACATATATGTAAATGTAATTAATTATCGATGTACATTTATATGCACATATATATGCAAGCAGAAATAATTTAAGTCTATATATCTTGAATCAGTGTACTCTACATTGCTAGCACATCAATTTCCCGCAAATGTCTACGAATCAATTTTATTCCAATCTCAATAGCAACTCTAACCGCTGTTTGCTCTTGTAAAACTACTTCCCACATACAACTACACATGTAGAAATAGTTTCCGTAAATATTATGTTTTTTTGCTCTAACTACACCTGAAGGGTAGTATCAAGCCTAGGGTAGGTAGTGCGGAGAGTCCTGCGCAATGCAGTTTTCGGCAGTGTTGTATTATGTCAGCGGAAACAATACATACAATACTCAATTGTAGTTATATATTTAGTGAGTCAATACAATTGTAATTTATAGACATATTGATAATCATGTGCTTTCTGTGATATAAGATTTAAATATGAAGGTAGGTCGAATGAGATTCGGGATTATTCAAGTGTAAAACACCACGTGTGATGGGCAAAGAAACAAAAGGAAAACAAAACATAACCTTTGGGGGGTTGTTAAGAGTTGAGAGAGTTCAAACCATTACGAATTTATATTGCACGCTGTTTTAATAGGAGTTTCTGGAAGTTGGAAATATAGTTACGGAAATATTGTTTGTTACACTATATACAAACGCAGATATAAATATGTATTTAAAATAGGGTAGAGCGGGACTTAAAGTAAAAAAGTCCACCACCAATATCTCAAAAATGAGAAAAGTTAAGAATTTTTTGACAACAATATTTGAGAGTAGAGGGGAAAAAATGTATAACCAGACATCACCTTATTTTTTACGACGTCGCTATCGGGAGATAAACGGCAAAGTTAGAAAATCCTTAACACAAGTATTTTCTTTCGTTATCAGTTTTTTTGGTTGTGAGCACTGTTGTTTAATTTACGAGTTTATAAGATGCATTCAACAGTGTTATTTATATAAACTCTAAAAAAGCTTATACGTGGGTAGGGCTAAAAAGGCCAACTGCACCTTTACCCTGGCAAAGTTGTAAACAGTAAAAAAATCAATTTTACAAAAAATAAATTATATAAATAGATATTCCAATTCTGGTGATTAATATTTTTGACTAAATACCAGATTAAGGTTATATAGAGTGTGATTTCTATTAAAAATGCATCCATGAAATTTATATTTTGTCTTAGTTGAATAACTTAGATATCATTTTGTAAAATCCTTTCAAAATAGCATATTAGACCAGTTTGGCCCTGGACCCATATGGCGTAAAAATGACCAGGTTACAATTTTTTGAAAAATAGCAGAAAAACACATTTTATCGATTATGATTTAGCTGGAAATTTTACTGATCATAGTCAGATATTAAAATAAGAAATTAAGACTATACGTACAGTTGATAATGCTCAAAAACTAAAACTTGTAATTAGTCTAGTGACAGTTATACAAATGTACTAATGAAATTTGTACAAATGTACTAATTAATATACTAATCATTGTACTAATTAACATATTAATTAATTTGTACAAATGTACTAATATAATTTGTACAAATGAACTAATGTAATTTGTACAAATGTATTTATTTTTTTCACTTGATGTACTTTTCAACGTAGGCCGAAACTTGCGGACTTTATAAATTTGCAATTTTTATTTATAATTTTTATATTTAATTGCTGTCATATCAGAATTAATTTTTTCCAGACATAACATCTGTTATAAAATCGTGTAAAAAACGCGACGAATTTTAAGTGCGACAATTTGAGCATTGCATTCATTCATAAAGTGATTTAAAGTGATATTTTTTTGAGATATTTTATATTATCCAAAGAAAATAATAATTTTAGTATTTGTTGAAAATTGGATTTTTATTTATTGAATCTAACTTGAAAATATCAATATCATAAATGCAGTTGGTATGTTTTGAAAGGGCTATATATAGGGCATTGATCTTAATATAATAATATAAAAGATATCTATTGAATAAAATACGGAAAAAGCTCACTAATCCGACACTTTCATAGACCGGCATCTCCAATAATCTTTACTAGGCAAATTTTTGAAAAAAAAATTGATATTTCTAGTATCAACTATTAAAACTTGATTAACTTTTTCACTATAATGCAGTATCCGAACGTTCACTCTACATTTCACTTGTGTACCCAATATTGTTTTTCTCTTAAATATATTTACATACAATTTTAAAAAAATTAAAGTTTGAGACCTTTATATGTGTTGTTATAAAGGTAATTACAAAGGGCATTTCTTACAACCTGACAGATAACGAAAAACATGTCGCTTTTCAAACGATAATTGCTCTTTTACGTGTTTCCATTCGATAATGCAACTTATATTCCTAACATTTTTATATTCTAGTTACAGTTGCGGTTCATTTTCGTTTATTGTAAATATTCTGTATATTATCTTTTATATCCCCATTTTATTATATTTTTATAAACTGTGCTCGGAATCTTTATGATACATGGGATTGCTCATATTTTTTCTCGGTCAGACGATGACATTAAATATTTATAAGTTAGTCAGATGTAGACAATGTTATATATGAAGGTGTCAAGCCAAAAAGGGAGTTATAACATAAATGCCTTTGGCATTAAATAAATTTTTCATGAAAATGGTAGAATGAAAATTAATTACTTATCAGGGTATTAACGATATAGTTGAATCTTTTGAGTATAAATCTTTTTTTCTCCAAACAAATTATATCACATATTTTTGCCAATTTGAGTTCCTGGGAAAAATCAATCAGTACGACACAACACAAATATATTTTTCCCGTCCATAGATATTGGATATTCATATATCAGAATTAAATATTCATAGTATTCCGATTAACATGAAAATGTTTTTCGTATATTTCCTCGTGCTTTCTTAATTGCGACATGAATGTGGTGTTTTAGAATCACAGGTTTTCTAATCTAAATGGAAACTCGGAATTCTCGGAATAAATTATACGTTTAAAGGTTAAGAAAATACGTGAATCATTGTGAAAAGATTTTATGAAACTTTCGGAAATATCTCAGGGTATTCTTTATAGCTAAGGAAGTTGAAAGTACAATGAACACCTAAATTCTGTATCCATATGCAAATTATAAAAGATAATTGAATGACTTGGTGCACTTGTGAAAATCATCTTCTGGTCAGAGATAATATGAAACTATTAGTGAAATGATAGTAAT